TAACAAAATCATCGATGGACGAATACTTTTGCGGTCCCATTTTCTGACATATCGCAACATATTCCTTAATTTTTCCTTTCTGCTTGATATTTATCAACTTTCGCGAATGGTATCTTGTTTTACGTAAATAAAAAGCGGTTGATGAACGGAATGTCAACAACCAAACCCCATTTGGTCTGCGAGCTCTAGCGGCTCTATGTCGTTGCTTACAGATAATTGGGGAGCATGTTCCGATGAGTGTTAAGAACACCATTGCACATAAACTTCTTAATACAGGATTACCGGGTGGACAGGATGATGACTCTGATTATTCAGATGTGTCCGATATCCACATGCCGGTTCCGGGCTTACGATCTACCCGTATAGCGAAGTTGAGGCGTGATGTTTCGACACTCGAGAATAATGTGGCGACGTTGTATAAATTAACTAAACAACATCTTGACAACTGGCGGTCTCGTGTCGAGGAACGATACGAGAAGATATTTAAACAAATACGAGCTTTCCGTTCCATTGAGAAGCGCACTATCGCAGTGCTCACTTTACAAGTGAAATGGCTACAGCACCACCTCAAGGAGCGCGAGTACCACCTAGCTACTGAAAACCCCAGTGTCTCTATATATCAAGAGCCTAATAACCGGTATCTCAATACAGATATTATTAAGTACCGAGGGGCTTCTACCGTCGATCACTTGCTCATAACGTTATTTGGATCAGAACCCTTTTAAATGAAAAATTGTAGATTTATTTGTCTTCTATTTCTTCCATATACATCGAATACGGTAAATGGACGAATACTTTTGCGGCTGACTGTACGTCGGATCAATGCTGTTCCACTGAGAGTGCGGACAGCAAGAGGCAGGATGAGAGACCGCCATTGTCGAGCAGGTTGCCACGACGCAGAAACACTACATCATGTTCTGCAAATTTGCCATAGGACTCACGGCCCTCGTATAAAGCGGCACGATGCCTGTGTAACCACAAGAATTATTAGTCATCAGGAAAACCCCACCCAAGTTCCTGCCAGACGACAAAGGAATGCAGACGGCATCAATTTTGCGCACGAATGTTGAATCAAGACGAATATAAAAACCCCTTCCAGAACTCCCAGTCCGAGTCTCTACCAAACCTCGCCTAAGTCATAATCTGTGAAACATCGTAAGAATATTGTAATATTGTATTGTTTTAATAAAGAAAGAGTGGAGAACCTTATGTTTTCCAGCTCGATATTTTTTTTGAAACATTCAAGTCATTTTTACGTGACATTTCGGCGATCCTGCCAGGATACCACTGAGTACAGTTAAACGAAATTACGCATTTCGGGTTACGTACCAAACTGCATTCGGAGTATCCACGAACTTCGGAAATTCTTAAAGTCAGTGCAACGATATTAAATATTTCGAGAAAACGACGTTGGAGTAGAAGACTACATCTCCGAAGTACGAGAAATGAGAGCGATGTGTGCTGAGCAACATCTACTCCTGAAGACGATCAAGATCGAGAAGATCGAGGGAAAAGCAAATATGGCTATCCGCAACTTACGAAGAAATGTCGCAACCCAAGGTTCAGTGAGGGAACAGCAAGATCAATTACGAGATGTACGCCAAGGTATCAGTGAGTCAATTCAAAGTTACATTATTCGATTCAGACGAGCATTTAACAAATTACAATACAGCGTTACAAACGAATATACGGACGAACTAACTCGACGAGCTATGAATGACAGAATTTTAAAAGATTCAGTGACAGACTTTATTCGTGGATTAAGAACAGAACTCGGACAAGTGTTACTCGCTAATCCGCCATAATAATATATCAGAAGCAGAAAAGAAAGCAACAGACGTAGAACGATACTTTCGGGAAGATAACAGAACGCGAAGACAAACAGTGACTCGACCGTCAAGACCGACAGTCAATATTCCACAAGCAAGACCGTCCGCACCCATGATGACTCATCAACTGAAGAATCGCCAGCCGGTTCAGCAGACGAACGTATTCAAACGCGCAGAAAACGCCCCACTCGCTGCAAGAGCACAGATAAAGTGTTTCAAGTGTGACCAGCTCGGCCATACAGCCAACCAGTGTGGAAATTTTCGCTTCGCCAGGCAACAGCAGAAAGGTCCCCCACCAGTAAACGCCATCGCGACGAGCAGCACGAAAGACGAGACAGAAATATCGGAAGAAACAGAGGAACAATCAGAGTTAATACCACAACAGGAAACTTACCCAACATATTCATACGAAGAACAGGAGGAGCAAGAAACAGACTCTTGGTTGACTCAGGAGCAGGAATCAATTTACTCAAACGAAAACATGTTGTAAAATCAGAACCAATTCCGACTAAAGATTTTTCGATGGGACATTCTAAATTTAAATGCAATGAACGAACACATTTGATTTTAGTACATAAAAAGATAGATTTTTACGTAGTAGAAGACGATTTTCCTTTAATAGAGGATGGAATATTAGGTTTACCCGGTTTAAAACAATATCAGTTCGAACTCACTAATGATAAATTAAAATTGGATAATTTTGTTGTTAAATTGCAGCAACCAACAGTTCAGTCCAACCCAAACAAGCAATTTCAAAGACCGTATACTTCGAAGGCAAACCAACGCCAGTATGCTTTATCAATGGTGGTGAGTCACAAATTCGAATAACCAATTTAATTGAAAATACTAACACGTATGATCAAATCTCCTTATTTAAAAACTCATTGAGATTATCTCATATTGAAAAATCATTAAGAGAACCAATAGAAAAGATCTTACTTTATATATGGATGTTTTTAATTTAGAAACAGATTCTTTACCATGCACAAATTTAATAGAACACGTAATTACTTTAAAAGAAAATAAAATTCTCAATACTAAATCCTACCGACCACCTGAATGTCATAAGAAAGAAATTCACGATCAAGTACAGAAAATGTTAAAGACAAAAATCATTGAACCGTCAGACAGTCCTTACAACTCTCCAGTTTGGGTAGTACCGAAGAAAGCAGATGCTTCAGGGAAACAAAAATGGAGAACCGTAATAGATTTCAGACGGTTGAATGAATTGACCGACCGAGACGCTTACCCACTTCCTAATATAGATGATATCCTTTCACAACTCAGTAATGCAAAATTTTTCTCAGCACTCGATTTATCTTCGGGATTCCATCAAATACCTATGAACAAAGACAGTAAGAAATACACAGCTTTTTCAACACCCCAGGGACATTATCAATACAACCGCATGCCTTTTGGACTTAAGAATGCACCAGCCACATTCCAGCGAATGATGGATACTGCATTAAGAGGTCTAACAAATCAAAATTGTTTCGTATACTTAGATGATATTATTATATTTGGAAATTCAATAGAAGAACATAATAAAAATTTGAGCATTGTATTACAACGATTAAGAGAACTAGGTCTAAAGATACAGCCGGATAAATGTGAATTTTTAAAAACAGAACTCGGATATTTAGGACACTTAGTTACAAGCGAAGGAATCAAACCAAACCCAAAGAAAAAATCTCGGCAATCTCGGCAGTTAAAGATTTTAAGACACCTAAAACACCTACAGATGTAAAATCATTTCTTGGATTAGCAGGTTACTATAGAAAATTTATAAGAAACTTTTCAAAAATAGCTAAACCACTGACAGAGTTAACAAAGAAAGACATTAAATTTTATTGGACGGACAAAACACAAGACGCTTACGACATTCTTAAACAAAAATTATGTAATGCACCAGTATTAAAATATCCAGACTATAATAAAACGTTTACACTTACGACAGACGCCAGTAATGAAGGTATAGGAGCTATCTTGTCACAAGACGGCCATCCTTGTTGTTACATATCACGCACGTTAAATCCACCTGAAAAGAACTACTCTACAACCGAAAAAGAATTATTAGCAATCGTATGGGCAACTAAAAGACTAAGACAGTACTTACTCGGACGAAAATTCAATATTGTTACTGATCATCAAGCATTAAAATGGCTTCAAAATTGTAAAGACCCCTCTTCGAGATTAATTAGATGGAAATTAAGACTAGAAGAATACGACTACACAATAGAATACACTAAAGGTAAAGACAATAAAGCCGCGGACGCACTATCACGAATACACATGACAAAAACTTTCAATTTAGAAGAACAATTTACTCTTTGGTTAAATTCAAGTAAACCATTAAAATTATTAAAACAGACTACTAACCGACCAGCATACTATCAACTGACACGAGAAGAGTTAGGAGAAAGAGACGATACAAAATGGTTAACAAAATTACATGAAATAGCATTGATAAATCCAAAGATAGGTATAGCAGATGATAAATTTAATGAAGACGATAAATATTTTATTAAAAAGATTTTGATGTTTATTAATGAAGAAATTAAGCAAATAACATTTGCATGGGAACCAATACAGCAGTATACAGATTCAGATATAGAAGAAATTTTAAAAGAAAACCATGATAATGTAGGACACCCAGGAATTCAGAAAACGTATGAAAGAATTAAAAACAAATATCAGATTCCAAATCTAATTGATAAAATTAAAGAACGAATAGAGACCTGTGACACATGCCAAACAAGTAAACTCACGCGAATTAGACCAAAAGAAGAACCTCAAATGACAGACACACCGATAGATTCAAACGAGAAAATTGCTATGGATATTTTAGGTCCTTTAAAGAAAACTAAAAATGGGAACCAGTACATATTGACAATACATGACGAACTTACGAAATACTTACTTTTAACCGTTTGATTCCGGGGAAGCGCTATCGCGCTTTACTTGTCGTATGCCAAAAATACGGCGCAGCGCGATAGCGCTTCTCTTGTTTTGTATCGAGAATGCGAAGACGCTGCTGTTGGTAGTATACTTTACGCAATTATTGAGAGCAGTTGTAGTAATATCAGTTGCAGTTTTTATTCATTTAACT